TGATAAAATTGTTAGATTATTAGTTTGTTATATTGTCAAACTATCATCCTGTCACATTGTAAAATTGTCAAATTATCACATTGTTAAATTGTGACTTTGTAAAATCATCAAACTGCTACATTATCAATTTGTTATATTATCAAACTATTATTTTGTCACATTGTAAAATTGTCAACCTGTTACATTGCTAAATTGTGACTTTGTAAAATCATCAAACTGTTACATTATCAATTTGTTATATTATCAAACAAATATCTGGTCACATAATAAAATTGTCAAACTGCCACCTCGTCAAATTGTGACATAGTAAAATCATCAAACTGTTACATTATCAATTTGTTACATTATTAAACCAACATCTAATCACATAATAAAATTGTCAAACTACCACATCAAGTCTAACTCAAAACCCCTTGCAGTTCATAACTCGCGTATCTCGGTAGCCCGAATCGAGTGGACGTTGAATCGAGAGTCGATTAGCGTGAAATCGCGGAAATGCTCGCGTCTCGTCGATATGATTCATGGTTTCGGTCGAATGGTTACATGCAGGTGAGCTTTTATTAAAACGACTCATAGAACACCGGCTGAAATTTCGTATAGCATAGAGCGATCCAATGTATTTCTGTCCCCATTAGCAAATAGCACATGAATTATACATGGCAGTTGGTTAATTAGTGACAATGTGTTATGTGTCGGGTTTATCGAGTTGGAAAATTAAATGGTTCGATAGGTGCGCGACTCGGCATGGAATAATTGTATTGAATTCGAACTATGTCGTTTTTCGTACTTTATTGCGATAACTATCTCACGTGGAAAGTGATTTTCTTCAAAGGTACAGTCAACCATAAAAATCTTCATATCTTTGGCAAATTTTATTTAAAATATTTGATCAATTTTATAATATTTTTGTAAATGTACTTTGGTGTATTCAGTGCAGTACAAGTTTTAATTTATTATACGTAATTAAAACTTGCACTGCACTGAATATACAAAAGTACATTTACAAATATATTATAATATTTAATAGTTATAATTTATTATACATAATAATTATAATTTATTATATAATTAAAACTTGTACTGCACTGAATGTACAAATGTTCATTTACAAATATATTATAATACTTAATAGTTATAATTTATTATACATAATTAAAACTTGTATTGCATTGAATATACAAATGTATATTTACTAACATATTATAATATTTAATAATTATAATTTATTATATATAATTAAAACTTGTACTGCACTGAATATACAAATATACATTTCCTGACAACGAACAAACCCTAACGAACATTATTACGTACACTCAATATCATGTAATACACTTATGAATACATTAATATGTAACATACTTAGAACACCTTATTTTGTTACGACTTTCTAAACATCTCATGTGATACGTTTCTAAACATATTTCTAACCACCTCTATTACCGTATGTGATAATACTGAATTGCTATTCAAACATAACTGTGAATAAAATCGTGAAAGTTAATTAATAGCTCATCGCGACCCTCCATATTCTATGAATGCTACACATTCGCGAACCCCAGAACGCCGTTGGTAAATTCAGTTATCCACGCGTGTTTGTGTGTACGTTTGTACACCGTGGAGTTTACACGCCGCTCTCTCAGACACTTCTATTTATATTTTGATGTGTTCGCGTCCGATTTTTGCGTAGAGGTTACTCATTCATTGGCCGATCAATTAATGTGCGGAGAATGGAGGCTCTCGTTTGTCGAATCGTTATGAAATTTTTGTTCATTTTTTTTTACTATTAATTGGAGTTTCTGAACTTCTGAGAGGCTTCTCTTCTGAGAGGGAAATGTACAAATATTTGAAGCAATTGTACATTTGATTTGGTAAACAATTATCATGGTTATTAAATATTTGAGGGTTGTACTGAAAACGAGTACACTTTTGAAAAGAGAGTCGAATTATAGAAATGATCATGAAGATCGTGTTAAATGAGAACGATTAATCGAACGACTCGAGCTGCAGAAACGATTAATGTTATTATCACTGTTAAGCATTGAAGCTTGAAAACTCGATAAACAAGGAATTACTGATTCTTAATTAAATCCTTCGATGCAAAAGTAATATCCATCTACATCCTAAACGATAAGATATATAAAATAGTTCAGAGTAAAAATGTAAATAACGTTAAGAGTTAATTTCATAGAAACAAAGCGATTTGATTCTGCTCGGACGAAGCTCGTTTCGCAGCGTTTGTTGCGAAAGCAACGACAATAGCGATCATTTGGACGTTAATTAACACCGGTGTGAGAAGAATCAGTGTTGCTGTGTCGCCACGACGTGTCAAGAATATACTGATTATCGCTACGTCGTTACGAATTGCCGTCATTTCAAATAATTACCATCACCGTTGCCTCAACCACGAAATTTCTTTCTTACCAAAGTTTCATTTTACATCTAACACCTCAAAGTGCAATGGGATCAAGGTTGAATCAGCCATTGTGAAAATTGTCGGCAATTATTATACATTAATATATTAATGTTAATAATGTCACATGATATAGAATATAGAGCAGTAATACTACATACAGTATTATATAATTATAGAATATTGTATAATTAATATATAGTTAATGTTATGTAGTTAATATTGAGGTAATTTTTAGTTGTAATTTTGCAGGTTTGACATAAAAAATATTTTATGATTTTTAAAAATAATATTATAGTATTATATAATACTTTATAATTATAATTATTAGCTACTAGCTATAATTATAATTATAAGCTAACAACTACAATTATAGTTATAAAATAATTATAAAATATAATTATAATTATAAGCTACTAACTATAATTATAATTATAAGCTAACAACTACAATTATAGTTATAAAATAATTATAAAATATAATTATAATTATAAGCTACTGACTATAATCATAATTATAAGCTAATAACTACAATTATAATTATAAAATAATTATGAAATACAATTATAATTATAAGCTATTATATAACACTATAACGTCATTCCTAAAAGCCATAAAATTGTATTATCTCAGAACTGCAAGTGCAGCTGAAAACTACTTCAATATGAAGTACCTCAAGATTACCTAAGATAATAAACCAAATTTCCCTGTATAAATCGTGACTAATTTTCATCGCGGAATAATCCCATGCGTAATCGATAGAGTGACTAATCGCCACGATAATCAGGAAACGTTAATACTTCCTTCCTGTTTGCCAAGAAGTCGAGATAAGGTTAACAAGAAGCGTAGCTCTTGACGCTATCGATTGCCAATAGAAAAATGGATACACGAGAAACGTGCATCTGTGACGGAGAAAATAACCTAACCTATTTCACGATCGCTTTCACCGTGTTTCCACGATGTCCACGTTAAAAGATCCGTTAAATGGAAAATTGATCGTTCTTGGATTTGAATTTCTGACATAACCTATAGATGACACGTCTATTTTCCGTCATAAAAAATAATCTCTCCATCAACATACTTTGGGAAGATTACGCACTCTTGCGCAACACTTCAAAGTTCTTTGTAGATCATAATACAGTTAGGAGTTCAAGATTGTCGATAAAAGTGGAATAATTAATAAGATGAATTTGCTTAAAAATAGCTGAGTACAAAATTGTTAACTGGATGCAACGATCAAGTGATAATTGTAACGGGAAAATGTTGCGAAGAGCGGTACGAGGATGCAGGTTAGCCGATGACAACGATCGAAGACACGGATTACGAGGGGATGTTAATTTTACGCGACACGATAGAAATCCGAGTCGATACGTCAATCCGCTGCACACGGAATACACGCGAACTCGTATAATACCCGCGTTAGAGGCCGTCTCCCGTTTTTGTTCCTCTTATTCTGTCTACGTCGTCCGCTGTACGCTTCCATTTAACAGCTAGCAGTAGCGGTGCACTGACTCGAAAGTCTGGGAATCGAAACCGCACGGATTCCCCGCCGGCGGATCCGACGACGAGACTACCCACCGAGGTAATAGCGAGCAAATTTTACGAGGACAGAACGAGAGAAAAAAATAAAGGTCAACGTCGCGCGTCCTCGATACTGCAAAACCCAGAACAACGAAAATCGACGAAAAAACGCGCCAGAACAATCGAGATGCGTTCGTTCCATACGTCAAATTTTCAACGGTTACGATTACCGCTCTTGCAAACAATATCGCGACCCGAACGAAGACCTAATTGTTTGCACTTCGTTAAACGAGTTGCAAAATTATTTTCCTTCTAATTAATTACTGAATAAATCAGTTTTGAATAAGTTAACCCATAGTTTTGTAAGTCACGTGATACTGCGGAGAGAAAAATTGCCCATAACAGTGAGCTAGCTAGAAACGAAACCAACTTGTAATTTTGACCAACATGGTATTTTAGGAATTCTCTAAATCCCCAGACTACTACATGCATTACGTACATGACCTTAGGAAAAGGCACATGAAGTTAACATCATTTCTTAATTCCCTGCTTTATATGCTAATAAGTTAGCATGTTTTTTAATGAATATTATAAATGATAGTTTAAGGAAAAGAATGACAAAACTGACGTAAATGCATATTATACATAAACCTGAATAATTTATACCGATATTGATGTCTACTGCATTTGACAAAAATTGTAAAGAAGGTTGTAAGTGCCATTTGGTGCAGAAGGCAATGTCAATAAATATGAATGTTATAACAATTATTCATAGGAAGTTTATAGAAGCTTGTCTTAAAAAATGTTCTCAAGAGTCTAGTTTCGTCACTTACAGCCTCGTGTATTACATCCGTTCGTTATCGACGAACGTACGGTAACTACGGAATCACCCTATATAAAGCAACCTATATTCGTTTGCTCGAACGACTCTGTCCATGACAGAACGCGATGTCACGCCGCTCGTTTCCTATTTCCCCCCGAAAAAAAAAGTAAAATCTCAAGAACGCGTCCGCGTCTCGTGACTTTCGTCTTCGTAGAAGAGATGATTTAGATTGATCGTGCTAACCTGAAAGTCTAGCGAGGAATCGAAGCATACCAGCGGCGGAAGACAGGCAATGAGCCGCGGTTCCAGCGACCAGAATTCCACCGGCGATCGGCATTCGTGTTTTCCTCTTTCCCCAATTGTCCTGCGCTGGTGTGCGTGTCTCTGCCTTTCGTGTTTGCCTTCCTCTTCCAGCTAGACAAGGACAAGAGAGTGGCGGGAGGGGGTTGACGCGAGTCCTAGCCTAACCTAACCTCTCTTCCTCTCTTCTTCGTTTGAGAACGAACACACACGAACACAGCGCACCGGCGGTAACGAAAACCGTGTTTTCTCAGTCCACGGCACACACTGTTCCCATGCCCGTGATTTTTCCCTCGGATCTTTGACACTCCCGATTCCCGTGTAGCTGGACGCACCGCGCCGGTTTCGTTTACGCGTCGTACGTGCGCGCGTGCCGTGTCGCGCCAGTGAAAACTCTGCCAGCTCGCAGACGGAACGGTAGACTGCGACAGACGTACGGCCGACGGGACAGATAAATTGCCCTTCAGGCTGAGAGAGGGAGAAAGAAACGGTCCTCGAGCGACGAGAGAGGGGCGAGAGCAGCGGGAGAGAAGCGTGTAAAGTCCGTCCACGGATCGGAGAAAGACAGATTCTCTCTCCGTACACTCCGACACGATGTTGTCACGATTCACGCACTCATTCGTTTCTCGACGTTCGAGTAGTACGCGACTCTCGAGGAAGAAAGACTCTCTCGACACACTGTTTAACCTCCAACGGAACTCTCTTTTCTCCCATCGGCTGTTTTTGCCGCGATACCGACTAACGCCCTATAGTTACGCGTGTCTCCAAGATACTCGTAACGATCGTTCTCGGACTTCTTCGATATGTCATCGTGACCGTGTTGGGGATCG